GCTTGTTTGAGGCATGCATGTTTTCTTCTCCCCCGCCCCGCTGTAAATGTTCTGTATTCTTAGATCCCTTGAGAAACCTTCATCGTGACCTTTAGGGATTTCATGTGGGAGACACACCACAGAACTAGTAATTTGAGATGGCTTCTTCAGCAGTCATTTCTTGCCAGTTATTTAATCCAGTATTTAACCCCAGCTCAGCTGGCATCTTCCAGGATATTATACGAGTAGACAACACTTATCCCGTCATCAAACCCATACTTCAATCCATACATTTTTCCATTGAAATAGATTCCATAGTAATTGACAGTGTCAGAAGATGTAACCTTAAAAGTTAACAGCTCTCGTCTTTGATTCTGCTCAGCTTTATTCAACAGGATTCACTATTAAAAAAAAAATTAAAAATAGTGGTTTAGGTGCAGCCTAGAACTACCTTTTTGACCCACCTTGTCTTTTCAGTGCAAGTTTCCATAATATTTTCCCCAAGTTTTAAGGCCAGTTCTGCTTTTATTTTTCCTCAGGCAATGGACATTTGTGTGCTGCAAGGTGCTGAGTACCGCAGCCTTAATCCAGTAAAGGAATCACTCATTTCCCTGGTGCTAACACCACCACAGGAGTCTTGCTGATAAGAGAAAGGGCGCTCATTTCCCAAGTAACCACGAATTGTTGCTGTTGTTGCTTAATTAGGGCATGAATCTTTATATTATACTTTTAAAAGTAGATTCTCAACTTCAAGTTTAACCAATAAAATGAAGCTTTGGATTTCCAGATTTTGATGTCACAGGGATTTAAGCAAATGCTTACACAGTTTGATTCACCTTAAATTTCCGTTTTATCTTCTTTAGATATAAATAACAAAATGACTGGCACTTCTTTCTTCAAAAGTTAATGCTGATGTACTGCATGCAGCATTTCATTTAGGCAGCAGCGTGGAAGTGTTCTCAGTGTATTCTCTGCTAGTTTATTTTAAAAAATCAAAGCAAACAACCCTTCCACATAAGACACTCCCCCCAAAAAAACCCCAAAACCAAACAAACCAAACCAACCACCAACCCAAAACCAATGACCCTGTTCCTTGGGAATTATCTGAAATTTATAAATAAAATAGTTTTGGTTATCACACTTTTTATTCAGTACTGAGCTTAAAAATAAAATCTGTAAATGACAATAACCAATGAGTCCGAAAGAGCTTAAGTATTTTAGTCTAATATTAGCCCAAATATTTTCTGAGTTGATCAGGGGAGTGACTTGCTGGATGCTAATCTAGATAAAATGAGAAATTGTCCACGTAAGCAATGCACAGTAAATTTATACCGGGCTGCGTGTAACAGGTTCTTTGAATTGGTTCCCATTTCCAGAAGCAGTAACAAATGCTGATGGTTGTAAAATCGTATTGGCTATTAAGTGGGCGTCCTGTGTGTTTGCTGGTGCTGCCAAACCCTCTGTTCACTTGTAATCCTCAGCAGATTTGAAGCGCATATTCTGTACTGCTGCTGAGCTTATGAGGAGGAGAGCTCAGTTGTTGGTGCTGGTAGCTTTCTTGCTGTTATGTCTACACAGCTGTGACTCAAGCAGCTGTTTCGGGATGAGTTTCACAAGCATGATAGCTGTAGTTACAAATTTAATTTTGAAAGTGATCCTAGCACAACTGCTAATGTCTTTAGACTTCTTGATTTATTAGAGGTTAACTCTGTCATTGCTAGCAAGCAGTAAGCACAGCTAAATACATTCAGGTATGTAATGAAATGTGACAGCATGCAGAATGTCTTCACATTTGAAAAAAGATTCATTTATGCCACTGTTTAATCAGGGACAGTTTCAGAGCCTTATTTTCACAAAATGTGTGATCTTATGAGTTCAGAAGTAGTCTCTGGTGCTGGAGAACTATTTCTCAGTTGTTTTAGAACATGTTTAATTGAGTCTTCGTGTTTGAAGATCAGAATAATTTAAAGTACATCGAAGAATATGGTGTATGTCTGCAAGTGTCTTTTTGCAGTATTATGTTAAAAACCCCAAAATTCCCTACTTCCCAAGCCCCCTTGTTGTCACAAACCTAAGTCAAAATGAATGTAATTATCACTAATTACCTTTTTTTTCCCCCCTTCCAGGATAAAGTAGCCAATATTTGGTGCAGTCTAAGTGTCCTTATAAAGATAAAGAATGTAGTATCACCTCAAACTCAACTAAAACTCAGGTAAGGCATAACTGAAGTGCTTTAGGTAGGTTTTTTATTTGCTGTATTTTTCGCAAAATTAGTAGTTTTTGTTGAAGAATTAAGGGAAGTGGTGTTGAAAATATTGAAAAAATGTTTTCTTTCCTATACTGTACTTTTCTCCCGAGTGATAAGGGTTTCTCCAAGTACTGTTGGGAATATTTATGACTTAAAAATTTCCTGCTTGTTCATATAGTAATTTGAGCTACTTGGTTGCTTAAAACCAAGTTAAAATTTGCACACTTTCCTCTTCACTGAAAGAAGTAATTCATTGAAGTCAGAATTCACAGTTCTGTTTTTTGACTAAGTGAAAAATTCAAGTCTAGGTCTATAGAGTCTGAAATATTAATGGCAATGCTTTATTCCTTTTTCAAAAGTGCTTATGTCAGTGAAGATCATTCAGTACTCTTCTCTTGTGATTGTCTCCTTGAGTGATTTTGTACTTCTGAAAATTGAATTCCTAAATTACGTAGTTTTCAAAAGTGATTATATGATATCATGGTTGTAGTTACTCATGTATTAAAACTGTTCTTCTTACAAAATTCTTTAGTTTTGCTGTAACGTTCCTGAGCCTGCTTCCTACTTGTATAAAACTAACTGTCCAGCCTTCTCTCCGAGGATTTAAATTTGCTTTGGTAAGTGCATGTTTTTAATTGCTCCTTCTTTTATTATCCACCACTGAGCAGTGGTGTGGGACGAACGGTTCTCCTTACACTTGCTGCAGTGCGCAGAATGCGTGTACCATCACGTGCCATCCTCTTGCTGCTGAAGGACTGGTTAAAGTGTTTTCCTATCACATGTCTTTTACATCCAGATCATTTTCCTTAGCCTCAATTTTCCTTATTTAATGCTGTATTTTTATTATCTTCCTCTGAAGAGTCTTTAGAAGATTCTGTACGAATTAAAGCCTCATATAGAGTTGGAATGTCTCCTCTTCTTGTTTAGCTTCCAAAGTGCTAGTTTTTCTTAGTGCATTGGCTGCAAAATTCAATAAAAAAAGTCCCAAGATGGACATTGTAAGCTCATTAGCGGTTTGAAAAGAAAATGATACTATTTTCCTAAATATTTGCCTTTTCTTAATTGTATTCTATAATTGAATTTAACACATTATCATGACTTACATGCAAAAATCGGTTTTCCTTGAAATAAAAATTATATGGAGCTAATCCTAAGGTTTCAAGTGTTAAAGATAATTTCTGTTTTTAATTTTATGTGAGTGATGTTTGAGAGTTTATCACAACATTGCCTAAAACTAACATTCATCCTTTCTAAGAATCGCTTTATATTTTACAGTGTGTTTTTATTTGGTTTACACAGTTTGTTTACTTTGGTGTGTTGGCTGTTCATGATGATGAGCAAAGTTTTATGTCCAAAGGCTGGGTAGTTCTCACCATGACTGAACTTTGCCAGTGCTTGTGTATGTGAATATTGCATTCACCTGGTGGGGATACTCTTGTCAGTAAAGCTAAGTAAGAGTTGAGGGCTCTTCACAGGAAGTGTTTTCTGAATAATTCTGGGTAAACTTTCAAACAATGTATTGTTTTGTATGCATAGGTGGTTACAGAAGCAGTGCTGTGTACTTGTAAGTACATGTAGCAGTTAGTTAGAAAAATCAGATCATTTTTAATTAGCTCATATGCTCATGTAAAGACTTTGTCAGCAGAGAAACTAAAGCAGTGCTTTGCATTGCAGTCACGTACACTAACAGACCTCTGGTTTCCTTCCTAAGGTTAGTTCTGCATTGTCATTTTTCCTGTTCTCCTTTCAAGTACATGAAAAATCTATTCTTCTAGTGTCAGTGTAAGTAAATTATTTTTTTGTGGATATATTTTGATCTTTTTTTCCTCACCTTGTTATTGCATGTTGCTTTCTAACTTACAAATATATCTGCTTTAAAAAAACTCTGCTTTTCTGAATAACTTGTAAATGAAAGTACAAAAATAGCCACGCTGGCCTCTCCTGCTTCACTCATCTCTCTGGGCTGGTGTTCCGACTGCATTTCCTGGAGTACAGCATGGCACAGAACATAGCCGTTTGTGCAGGGACACGCTGGCTGTGATGCTCCCTCAGACAACACAAACTTGTACCTGGCTGCCCAGCAGGGCTGGAGCATGGCTGTGAGTTGAACTGGGCAACTGATACCTCACTAACAGTGACGGTAAGGGGGCATTCCCTCCCTTTGTCACCAAGGTGTGCTTTTCCCAGCCCCTGCCCCAAAGGAGGTGAGGGCAGCAGGGACAGCCAGCAGCTTTGCTGACTGCACGGATGTCCTACGTGTACCTGGAAGTAATGTTTGATAAAGGAAGATTTGGAGAGGCAGCCCTCTTAACGCTTGTCATTCATACCCAACAAGGCGGCTAAGCTGGTGGTTAGATAGCTCCTGTTGTCTCTACAGTCTGGAAGTTGCAGCACAGGTGCTCCTCAAAGCCTTGCACAGAATGGGCGCTAACCTGGCGGGCTGTGCATGCCGGGGTACATACCTTAAGTGTTCTGCTGAGTGACCCTCCTGCTGCAGACCCTGTGGAGGGCAGAGTGTTGGGGTTCAATGGGGAGCAGAGCCCTGCCCTGCCTCCCACGACAGTGGGAGTGCAGCATCGCTTTGAAAGGTTGAGGACAGAGTGATGCCACTTCAGTGTTTCCTTATCTGTTCTTCCTCTTTTCATTCTAGACCAGTCTGCTTGATCATAAATGAGATCCCTTTTATGGCCACGTGGTTTTTACTTGTGTCAACTTTCAGGTGAGTTGGACGCTGTCAGCATTACTTTAAAACAGTATTCTCCCCCAATTCTCGTGAGTATAAATGTCGTCTTTTTCTGCTTCAAGTCCAACTCAGAATGTGCCCTGACTTCTGCGGGTAATTCTGTTTTACTAGTATGTTGCCTCTTCTGCTGAAGGACGGCCTGCTGCTGCCCTACGCTGTGACAATGCTGGCGTTCCTGTCAGTCTGCACGGCTTCCTTTTCCATATTCGAGAAGATTTCAGCAGAGGACCTGCAGCTCAAACCCTTCTCCCTTTCCCTGAAGGGCTATGTTTCTTGGTTTAAGTCATTTCCCAAGATCGTCAGGAGTCTGGTAAGCAATTTTAATTCCTGTAACTTTTACTTGCAGCTCTTTGTGGTACTGAAGTACTTGCATAAACTAGTTTCATGTTGTCCATAACTGTTTGGGGCTTTATGGACAGGAACGCCATGCTGGGTCAGTGCAGAGGTGTGCTGAAATTTTTTTTTTTCTGCAATGTCATCTATGTATAGATTGAAGAATACAGAGCACTTGAGTAATGAGAGTAACAGCTTACTCGTTGGAGGTGTTAAATCACCCTCAGCTGATACATCATTCCTTATCTTGCAGTTTCTTCTTTCTGTAACCCTGATGGGCATCCTGTCTGTGGTGAGCGCCGCAGTGCATCCTCCACAGAGGTTACCGGATTTATTCCCTACAGCTGTGTCTGTTATCTCCTGCTTACACTTTTTATTATTTTTGGTGTATTTTAATGTTGTTATACTCTGGGACTCAAAGAATAGTAGAAGTCAGAAGAAAATCAGTTAATCAACCTGTGAAGATCAAGGACTGAACTGTGAAAGCATGGACTATTTCCAGTGAACGGTGTCTGGCGTTGCAGGTAAACCTGTTTGTGATGTAATACAATTCCTGTAACCGAATGAAAATCAGGAAGTGCATTATACATGTTTAGACACAAAATAATCGAAGACTGTTTTAAAGGAGAAGAATTTTGAAGAGGAGTTGGGAATGTGATTTGGTGTGTTTTCTTCAGAAGTGTAATACTTTTTGTTACCATTTGTACACTTTAAGTACCTAATAAAGGACCAAATTTTGAATTAATGCTAAAATACCCTACTTGTAGTAGCAGAACAGCAAACAATTTTGTTAGCATGAAGTTTACACATTTCTCAGCATAAAAAGTGTAAGCAAGTGAAGAGGTGCAGGTGAAGTAGAAGCTCTTGACCGGTAGCTTTTATGTTGTCTTGCTGAATTGTTTTATGACACCAACCATCTTGTACAGTCAGTCACTGTCCGTCGTTGTTGTTTCATACAGCACCCTGCAGTTCATCCAGGCTGCTGCACGATGCTGTGTGTCAGTACGAAGAACTCTCCGGATGCTGTGATCTAAGCAGAACGCTTGTTTTTTTTTCTGCTACTGTGGTTGGGTAGAAAACTCACCCTCCCAGTAGTGTCGCTGGCTGGAGAGCCATATGCTCAGCCACAAGACAGACCCCAGTTCTGTGGCAGCTTCATTTCACCCACAGGCTTTTGGTTTTCTTGTGTTATGTGTTATTTTCCACACTACCCCTACTTTCAGAATGCTGAAAAATCGTGTAAGCTGCAGAGATGCACCAAAGTTAGTACTGGGCACAGAAGCAGGGGCTGCGATATTTGGAAAGAGGAAGGTTCTTGTGTATGTGGTGGGTTGGAGTCCATTTCTTCCTTTGCTGCAGGTCAGGAGCTATGGTTTGCTCTCAACACTGGTGTAGGCTTATGACTCTCAACAACTGTTCCTAACAGGACTGAAAAGCCAAAAACTCTTGGTTCTGCTGAAATAATAGCTGAGGGACTGCAGGTCAAGTACTAGGCTCTGAAAAAAAAAAAAAAACCAAACAAAACAAAAACCCCCAAACAAAATAAACACCAAACCAAAAACCTCCCACAATGAAAACCACTGCTTATTGCATAGTAATTTGTAGAGGTGAGCCGAACTAAACTCTGCAGTTTCTCCCTCTGTACCGTACAGCCTCTGCTGCCAATAGTTCAGAGAATACAAATTGATTGAACAATTATATACATAACAAAGCCGATAGTAAAATAAATCCTACAGCAAGTCATGGTAGTATAGTTTAATTAGGAGTCAATCTATCCTTAATTTCTTAATTCTGCTCTGACACTGTAGAGATTTAGACATTTTTATATATATGTAAAAAAAAAAAGGGCAAACCCATCCTTGTTTAGAGGCTTCTCCCCTGACCTCGGGGGCTCTGTCACATACCACACTGTCACTGACATTAGCACATTCTGGGGCCGTTGCTGCAGCATCAGTTGTGAGTGTGTGAATCAGCTGTTCGGTGAACTCCCAACTGTGTGAGTTATGAATACTGCAAATCAAGTGCCTACAAGCTGAGTGTATTTATTCAGGTTTTTTTCCAGCTTTATTTGTTGTGGAAAAAGTAACCACAGCCAACTTTATACCCGTGGCAGCTACGGCAAAATAAAAAAAGCGGCACTGGAGGAGTAATTTCCACGCTATCGGTGGTGAGTACAGTTTAGCAGTTTGCCTACACTGTAACAGTTCACTGTAAAGCAACAAAACTTAAATATTTTCAGAAGTATTTAGAATTTTTCTGAGGGTGTGACTCTCAGCATGGCATGCAAGGGCTCTGCCCACAGCATGGCCTTTCTTTTTGGAAGTGTAGGCTGAGTAGCATCGATATTTATCGGGACACATAAATAGGAACCTTTGTCTCCAGAGGCTGCGAAAGCTGAAAACCACAGCGTTCCCTCCAAGCAGGGCTGGGGGAAAGGCTGCCAAAGGGTCAGGCAGCTTGAAGAACGTCTACTCCCAATGAAATAACATGTGAAACAGCAAATGAAGATGGAAGGAAGCAGAACTTTCAGGTTCTAATTAGCCTGTTCTTTTGTGTTCATAGTGCTGCAGTCCTTCCCACCCATATAAAAACATTAGTTTTGAGTGGATCTCTTTTCTTTGTCCTTGAGATGGCCTCCAAGGGTGATAAAGTGAGAGTCATCCGATCCACCTTGTGTGGAACTGGAAATGGTTCTTAACAGACCCAGCTGTTTCTGAGCGGCAAAAGCCTGGTACACCCAGAGGTCAAAGAAACAGTAACTGCTTCAATAACTGAGGCACGCACGAGGAGTGTTTGCCGCAGAAGCTGGGTATAAACCTTGTATTTCCCTAAAAAAGGATTAAACACCAAATTTCATGGTATTTAATAATTGCCATGGTGTAAGTTACTGCTGTAAATCATCACCTTTGCTGTTATTTTCATTACAAGCTTTATTTTGTTTTTGCTAAGACTTGCTTTAGACTGGCATACAGTTCATTTACAGACACTCTTCAGATCAATAATTATTTAATTTCCAGCTACAGCGGTTACAGTCAGGTTATATAAACCAGTGCTGGCTTAGGCCAACCTGCCGTTGTCATACACAGCACTCAGCTGGGGAATCTTGTACATGCAACAAAAAACCAGCAGCGCACAAAGCTTCAGTGAGGATGGTGTAGAAGGTAAGCAATACCAGACACAATTCCTTTCAAACAATTACATTTTTTTTCCAATCAGACTGCACAGGTATTGAAGTGCAAAAAACATTTTTATTAATTAAAAACTCACAAAGCTTGAGCATGTACATGTTTACCACAACCTGGAACACATTTATAATTTCAGTTCTCAGAATTTTAGTTGTAAAAATCAGTTTATCTGGTTGAGTAAGAGTATTTGGCAGTGGTAGAAAGGATGTTCAATTGTGTGTGTTCTCTCTCTGAGAAAAAAATTCATTCTACTGCAGTCTTTGAGATGTAGGGTATTCACTAGGGTGGAGAGGTGGTTTTGAGGATAATGAAAAAGAGAAGAAACTGTTTTATAACAACTCTTGCCACGTCATTAAATACCAAAACTAAACTAGAATGTTGACCTAAAAAAGCAAATGTTACTAGAACCACGTGGCTTGAGGCCGATAGCTTTATAGAGGGTGTCAGGGGTTGCCTTCAGAGGAAACATCTGCATCGATGACAAATACGTCCCTGCCCGTGGCAGCCACAGAGAGGGAAAGTGTTGTTGGTAAACAACTCAAAACATGTTCAGCCTTCAGAATAATTCCTTGCACAACAGCGCTTCCTCTATATTTTGAGCCCAATCATTAGAAAAAGAAAGAAATTTTTAGGCATGCTGTCGAGAAACCAGATGCATTCATTTAAATAATATTTTGTTAACTTTTGGGGGGATGATGACTTGATTAAATGAGCATGTGCATGCACCCCCAACCCTGGCAGGATGTGACCATTTCCCACTTGAGGCCTGGGATCCAAAATTAATCTTTTAATATAGTTTCTTCTCAGTTCTTGGAGAGAGGGGTGTTTGTGTGTATATATATATATAAAATTTTTTTTAAAGGCAGCATAATTTATATATTTGCACTGAGAACATACAGAAAATATAGTTTATTTTCTAGGCAGCAGCAAACCTAAATCAGCATTTTGTACTGACACACACTCTTGCATAAACCAACCATGATGTATTATTTACATTGAGATTATCTGGTTGTGCACATTGTTAAGTTTAAATAGATGCCAGAAATTTTATCTAGATATGCACCTGCCCAGCGCAACGAGCAATCCCAAACTGGTATTTGCTGGGGAGATAGGTTTACAGGAATTTCTTCTCTCCTTTTAAGTCCAGTCAAGCAGATGTAGAACTTTGGGTTGATCTGGAATGCATTTTTCACATAATGCCTGGGTGGAGATAAGGAATGACTAAAATAAATAGCAATTAGACAACAGCATCATCATTCACGTGATCTGCTCAGAGATAGATGTCTGTCCTCTGCCCCTACTAGCCTCACTGCCTCAGAAACACAGCTACACCTATCCATCCTAGGGCAATGCAGAACGACTGATGGTCTCCTTTGAGCTGCAGTAACATTTTATAGATGTTTGAAGGAAACACTGTGGTTTTTATCTGTTGACAAAGTTGAAAATTAATTGCTTAAAAATCATTTAGCTATCACAACTATATTTTTTAAACAGTAAGAAAACAAAGGGCTTTATAGTGTTGGTCACGCTTGGAAAAGGATAGAGAGAACCTGATAAAGGAAATGTGGGGTTTTTTTGGACAGAAGGTGCAACCACACTGTTCACTGACTAGAAAATACAATCTAATTGTAGAGACATGAGTGCTCGCTGAGCTAACTTCAGATTGGAGCCTTGTAGCTGTGGTCAGTATGAGTTCAGCTGAAGCTAAGAAGCCAGTGGAAGACTTAAACTGGTCATTGCACCATAGAACGGTCACTCCCTGGGCTCTGCAGGACTCAGAAATGATGCTGAGTGGTGACAGTGAGCAGCCAGCTCTGCTCTCCTCTACTGGTTTCTGTCCCTTGATTACTCTGTTCCCAGCCTTTGGTGGTACTTGGCTTGGAAGGAGTAAGGAGCAGAAAGAATCTCTGGCATAAGCAGCTAATAACTCTTGGGGTAACGTTAGCTTGCAGACAAGCAGGGTTTTAAAGCCTTTTTTTCTGCTACTAGTATGATTACACAACAAAATTTAAACTCTATTAAGAAGCAAAATGTGTGTCTGCGCTCACCCCTGTGCTAGTAACTCAGCTTATAAACCGTGTACATTTCCTTTCCATATTCCTCAACTGCAAGATTAGAATACTTTAACTTTCCAAAGGAGAGATGTTCTCACCCTCTCCAGGGAACTGATACAATCTGCTGCCATTCTCATCTTTAGAGGCTTCTTTGTCTCACTAGGCTTCATGAAAGAGATGAGCAACCAGTTTTCTCATGCACAGGTAACATAAGATGACAGACACGGTCTGTTGCTAGCTGGGCTTTTGCTTACAACAGGATGAGTAGCCAAAGGAGGAACAATTTTAAACCACACTAAACATGCCTTGAGGTGGCTGTTAGTATATTCTTTCTGCTCAGAGTTCCTACAGATTCCATGTCATTTTGCATAACAAACCAGTAACAAGAAACACCCCAATGTTTTCCCATCAAGCTCTTAGTCCTGACTGCAGGCCTACATACTAGAGCACTTTGCAGATGTTTTACAATTAAGTTCCTCGGTCCCTATGATGATACTACCTGTAGGTGGCAGCTGGAGAAGTCACAGCAGAGCGAGAGGTTACTTCCTTCCGTCAAGGAGCGACTTCAGGAACATGGAGCTGCTGGTAGTCTGAACATGCTCTGGGGAGGAGGAGAATCAGTTTTGATCAACAGAACAATGGTGTCATTACAGAAACACACAAAAAGAGTTAAATAAGTTACTGCAGTGGTTAACAGAACCCCATTTTCTTCATCTGGTTACCGTGTCTCAACAGTAATTTAGGAGATTGCCTTAATTACTTGTGAGTGGATGCACGTATGCTGCATCATACCACTGATGACAAAGCAGAACAGAATGTGTTATGAGTATTAGAAGCTGGCCCTTCTTTTTTGCTATTAATAATAATAAATAAAAATCCATAAGGGCCATGTCAGCGGACTCAGCAGCATCCAGTCAAGGATTGCACGAGAGGAACAACATCCCCTGAGTCCTCTGAGGGGAAGGCAGAAAGAGAGGCACCCGCACCTGAGCCCCATCCTCCAGGAGGGCAGGGCAGGGCAACAGGCTGAGCAGATGGCTGGAAGAAGCAGAGGAAGTGTGTGCAGGGGTAGAAAGGAACTCGGGGAATGGGAACATTGGGGGAAAGGGTCTGGAAGCAGGTGCCTCTGAGTGCCAAGATTTCCAAATGGCTTTCCGCAGGAGGTGATCAGCTCTGGCCTCAGTACCCTTCGTGTCTGCTGCTGGTCCGTGCTGCGTTTGGATTCCACCACCATGGAAGGGTGAAGAGAGTTGAGAATTACTCACTTTATATTAAACATACTGAGAACAACAAGCAGATATTTACAGTGGCTTATGGCTGAAAAGGAAAGGGGCTGCACAAAAACCTAGACGGAAAGAAGCATCGAGGCCACCAAGGACCTGGGTGGTGGTGGGTAAGATTCTCCTCAGTTTCTCAGCTCTCCTCTTTCGGCATGCTGTGATTTCTGGGGTGACACACGCTTCCTGCATGTGACATGATGCAGAAGATGTGTCTGTGGATCTGACGTGAGGTCCCAGTGACATTACCTGGAGCTGACCCAGACCGCGGCAGAAATGCTGTCCTAAGCTAAATCTCATAAGGTTATTCCATAAAAAACACATCCAGTTCAACTTTGCCTCAGGTACCACTTTTCAGCATTACACCTAATAAACACCATTTGTTTACACAAATTATCACCAAAAAAACCCCACTAACTATTGCTTAAAATAGGAAACTGCCCAGTCTTGTAGGGCAAGTAACAGAAACGGACTGATGTTTAATTACAAGCTAGTTTCTTTGTGCTAAATGCAACTTCCTAGTTTAGTCTTTTATGAACCCTTTAATCACCGATTCTGGCATTCTGACTATGCAGGACTTATAGAACCCGCACATGTCAAAGCCACCATTCCAAGATCTGCATTTCACTCGGAGAAGCTGCCCCAGGTTCATATAAAACATCATTAACTCAGCTTCCTTTCCAAACATACACCATGACACCACATTCTGACAAAACAACCCTATTCATAGTCCTATTTATACAGATGGCATTAAGATTTAGATGTTCAAATAATATGATTTACTACTCATGTGCTCCAAAAACTTACAACGCTTGTTGTAGCAGTGTAAACTTTTTTGGATTTGGACGCGGCTGCCCTGGCTCTCTGCTCACCAGCTCGGTATCTGAGGGTTGCACAGGGCAAGGCAGCAGCGGGAGAGTCACCAGACCCCTCATCCCCGCACGGGTGGGTTGGCAGAGGCCTTGCTGCCCTTCGCCAGCGTGTCTGCCATCCCTGGCCCACAAAAAGCATCAAAAGGGCAGAGTCTTCCCAAGTTTCTTTTCCCCTCCTACTCCCACCACTGTTCTTTCCCAAGTTTGACTGCTCTAAAACATTTACAGATCTCAAAAGCAGAGAGAAAAAAAATGTTCACCTGTCAGGTGATATAAAACCAATCTTCTACTAAATGTGCCAGAATAATTTTTCTACACCTCAACCACAGTTAAAACCTTCAGTCTATTCATTACTGTCTTTTTATAGTATTTTTATTTAATAAAACCTATTAAGACTACCATACAAATCTCTTTACTTATGCTTTTATCTTTTAACTGATCAATTTTTATATTGCTGACATCCCTTCTTCACCATTTGCTCATTTAAAAATTCATAGTATATGAGCTATGTCTCTGGAGAAAATGTCTATAAAATTTGTTACAGCTGGCAAATGTGTATGAGTCAGTGATAGCACATGACTAAATGCTTCACAGAAAATAAAATTTGTTTCTGTAGTAAGCAGAACTGTTTAAATGTTATTTATTTTTATGTTTCAAAGAAAATATATTGTGAAGTGCTGCATTGATTTAATACGCAACAATGTCTGTGTACACGCTGTACAAGGAAAATTTATGAAACCTTTGCACAACTCCTTTAATTGAATTTTCCAAATCTCTCACCACACACAAATAATCAATATCTTCTGCAGAGAAAACCAGTCAGAATTATTACAGTCTTTCTTTTCAATTTTGTTGTCATCAGCACATACAGAGCACCTGGATATTTGTAACGTCTGGCTCGCAAGTTATTTACACCTCTTAAACATATAATTGCTACTGAGTCCAAACTAATGTTTCTTTTCTTTTTTATTTAAAATAATTATATTCATGGGAGAAAGCGGTATTTATTCTCATGTAGGAGTTGCTACATGTAGCTGTTGAAAGAACGGCAATTCTTTTTAATTTTTCATTAAGCTTAATAATCTAAAGTCTCGATCCACTAGAATTAAAAATTAATAGCGATTGCGTCTGGTAAAAGGTACACAGGAAAATAAACACAAGTGTGAAATTCATGAATAAACGTGGCTGACACCTAAATATAAAATGCAGGTTGTCAGTTCTATATGTATATACGTCTGAGGCCTATAGTCATACGTCTCATGTGCATTTCTGTATCTGCCACAGAAGTTAATAGCTTAATATTTCATCTACATAGCAGAGGCTGCTAGATCATTGGCGAGGTTTGCAATTTGTCCCCTTCCTTCCATCCAAAAAGCTTATCATGCCGGTGACCTCAGACCCAGGTGCTTCTCAAATCTCAGTTTGTATTTTAAAATCCGCACTCTAGGGTGCAGGTACAATCCAACAGACCCATAACCTGCTGCGAAGGATTGCGGCATTCGGGGGTCAAACAGAAACCTGGCCAGCAGCTCCTTCACCGCTCAGTAATGTTCCTTTGGCAGATAAGATGACTCACTCGTCCTAGGAAAATCCCCAGCACTGCAGGTTTTGGGAATCAGGCTAAGTGGGGTTTGTTACCTCTTCTATACCGTAAAGGACTTTGCAGGGTTACAAACCAAAAGAAGACCCGCTTGCACGGGATGAGAGAAGGTGTACAGTCAAATTTAGCCTGAGCAACAACAGCCTTTAACCCCCACAATACAAACCAGAATCCAGCGCTCCCTTCCCTAAAGATGCATTTTGGGGGAATCTCACAGTTAGTTTTGATTGTAAATGCAGGAGGACAGGACGATTTCGCTAGGTCTCTGGGACATTCAAAATAATTGATGAGTAAAGAAAACGGGTGAGCTGCACTAAGTCCCTGTGTGCACACTTACACATTCAGCACTGAAGCAGCCTTAACTCAGTTTTCCTGAATGCAGTCCCGTGTACAAGTGTTCACACCAAGGTATAACTTAAATTTCTGACATGTGGCAAAACACCAACCCTGGCCTTTAGAGTTAAGAACTGAAGTAAGCATATCTTTTGCAAACACAAGCTCTTAGTTTCCATCTATTAATAATCCATTTGAAAAAATAAAAAAGTCCTTCAGCATCATCTTTGTTGCTTTTCAAGATGCTGTACACCACAAAAAGGCTGCTGCAGAGATCTGGTCAAGCTTCTGCTGGACCGAAAGGACCTTGGTAGAACGAGGGAACTGCTGTTTGTGTCAGCATCGGCGGCTTTTTCCATTAAAAACACAGAAGAACTGAACCTCAGAAAAGCCTCTATCACAAATGCCCAGAAGCAGGGCTTGCACAAACCAGAGCGTGTGGTTCATCCTTACAGTCAGCTCATGCACCGGTTCTTAAGAACGAGGCCTGCAGATCCGTTAGATAGAAAGGCCTTTCCCACACCTAGCTCCAACCCCTGCAGCCATCTCATCACTCACCTGAAAAGGGAGTATTTGCGGTAAGCAAAAAAAATCCACAGATAGCTTCCTGAAAGTACACATCTGAAGTCTGATGTCTTCCCCTTTTCCCTAGCAGATCCCAGAGGAGGAAGGACATGTGGAACACAGACACCCAAGTGTGATTAAAGGTCAACAAATGTATTCTGCTTTATCTGAGAATGAGGTGGAAAGACATTATCCTCTCGGTTCACCCTCACCCACAGCAGCGCACCAGCAGTCCAGACCCAAGCTCTTTCGCTGTTTGCACACGAAGACCCAGTACAAAGGCCAGACTCAAACTGGCATGAATGGGGATAAATGGTGGAATATTGCATTCTGACCATTTCACCTGTTTGGAGAAGGGACTCTGCTCATTAAGGAAGGATCTGTATTTTGCGGTGTTTCTGAAATGGGATTTTATGTTTCACCGTATCTCCATAGTTTTTAAAAAATTGAACAGGCAAGTGGGAAGTGAATATTACCTGGTCCTTAATCTCTCCAGCTTTGCTTTCCTTAGTAATTTCAGGTGGCATTACATGAAAATCTATCTAGTTAACCCTGATCTAGGCTCTTGGAAAGCCACCACTGCTGTTGCAAAGAGTGCAAACTTCAGCCCCTTGTATTAAAAACAATATGAAAGTTAGGAATGGTTAGAGCTAAACTTCACAGGGGTGGTTACATTTGCCCATGGGCTTGGCAGGATGAACAACACAGAAAATAAAGTACTTTTTTCTTTCCTTACAAGATGCAGTCTGAAAATAGTTTTCCTTAACATTGCAAGTATTTGATCTTCTATAACTCTCTCTTCTTGTTTCTTACTTGGAGAGCAGACGGAGTCATGGACATGATTTATGTCAGTGTTTTTCTTTTTGAGAAGCAAAGCATTAGTATAATTTGTAATAAGCAGCTTAAGTAGCTTTCCTCCTTAGAACGTTATCTTCTCTCTTTGAAAATCTGAGCCTATGAAATTTGCCTTTAAAATCTGCGTATCACAACCTACACAGTTCTTCTGGACACACATAAAGCCTGCTTTGGTCTGCCACGTACCAACTAGATTTAACTGCTTGGCAGCTGCTTTACTGTTTGCTTACATTCTATTAAAAAACATTTTGTTTACTGTAAATTCTAGTAATGGACAAACAATGACGCTATTTTTTAATGCTGGTCACACAAAATGATATACTGAGTTCTGCATAATGCTGCCCATTGAGCAAGGAATGTTTTGTATTGAGTTGTTTTAAGTAGAGGTTGTTTATGTAAAGTAAATAAATTTCATGCCTCACCATGTGATGATAATGTGACATTCCATCTGTATCAAGCCACAGAACAGTCATAAGTTTTAAGCCTTGAGCATAACTAATTAAGAATAATTATGAGAAACCACATCCAAAGCTAAAAGGCAAAGTGAAACGGCAAAGTTAAACATCTCCAAATGCTTTTCTTTTATCACATACTTCCTTCGTCTCTCCTACTACTGTATTTTCAAGACTGCAAAACAGAATTTATTCTACATTAAAGCAAAACTGACACTGAAACTTCATCAAACGTGATCACCTTAAACTCATAATTCTATTTTCCATCCTACTTTCACAAAATATCTCATTTATCACCTAACAAGGCTGGATATACGCATAGGGGCTAGTTTCTAGAGCAAAGATGGAACTATAAATGTATATCCCGGTGACCGTTAAAAAGCAGTGCGCAAAGGAGGCGATGACTGTTTAAATCTGCAATGGCCCATGGTGCTCACTGCTATCGGTGCCAGGCAGGGGCTGGGATCGTTTGAACAGAAGGACATAGGGAGCTGTAAATCAGAAATAGCAGCTTGCACAAATGAGACAAATTCCTTAAAAAGTGATGTCACTCCTTTTCATTTTGTAGTAATCTGCTAGAGCTGAGGAAACTCTAGTTTGATCAATTTTCTTTCCTTTATAAGAATTCCCCACAGCAGGAAGAATTTAGGACTGTGGCAGAGCAGATACAACCAAAACCAAAGGGGCTGCTCATGATACGAAGCAGTCCTGCTGGTTGGGCTAACGGGCAGACAAAGCAGTAGAGATGCCATCACCCATTTTGATTCTGGTTTTGCTCTATTTTAAGACAGAATGTGCGAAGACAACAGAAATATCAGAATATCAGTGGTGAAAGTTTGTTGATTTTACTGGCTGTGAGTGGAAAAAAAAATAAATCTTGCGTGTATCCCCCCGCCACCTTCCCAGCTAGCCAAGGCACTAAAGCAGCCATGTGGGCCACACAATATTAAACGCCACCAACTTCAAATATTTTCATAGCACGAGTTATGAAGAAACCTAATGGTTGGGATTTCACAGGCCCCAGGAATCAACGAAAGGAATCATCAAAACATCTGTTACACAGGAGTTACAAAAGGTTGCTTACCTTGGGCAGGAAGTTTTCCATGGTTTCTTTTAAACAGCTGCAGTGCTTCTGCTTCACTCACTAGTGAAGAAATAAATCTGAAATCAATAAATGCTTCCCCAGAGATTTCAAAGAAAATATCACCTATGCTGCCTTTTTCACTTTCAAAGCATTTGGATTTTTCTTCAAGTGATGACAAAAAAATAATTGTGCTCCAAAAAAACCCCAAAAAACCCAAACCCAAAATATTGTCATAATTACCATAATTCTGAGAAGCTGTGCTTACAAGCCTCAAACCACATTTTGTTCCCATTTTTGTCCTCTGGTGCTTTGTTCCTAATTCAGAGATGGGGGGGAAAGATGGTTCTTCCCCATTTTGAAGGCAACAAGAAGCTAACAAAAGCCTGGTCGTAACAGAAAGTGCCAACAACAGGTCTGACATCTCACGGGGGCAGTCTTACTGCCCTATCCACAGCGTAGGGCAGCAATGTAAACACAGACTATTTTCAGAAAACTTCACTTTGCACAAGAAAGCATCTGGTTGTATGCATTATAGTGGGAACTGGTAGAGCGTATACACATGCAAAATGAAAGCGGAATGGGCATTGGAATAGCAATCAGGAAAGAAATGGTAATTTAAACAAGAGTAGCTGCTGGAATTGTGTGGTGCATAACTTCGACTGCTGGGGCTCATGCGCCTCATGCATTAGAAGAGTTACAGCGCTCTTTGGGAAGAAAAATTCTCTAGCACCTGTAGCTTTACTGTCCAACTGTCCCCAACTGCAAACCAGCAGTCCCAGTCACCCCAAGTTTTGCTTTCCTATAGCTAGTTCCAGTGTTTTTACACTCTGCAGAAAACAGAGCAGCCAGACAGGTTGTGGAATAATGTATCCTGGCAAACCATCACGTTTGCTGCCGGTGAAGAAACTGTTCTGTCACCTTTGCATGCTTGTCCAGAGGCTCGACATAGGGACTCTGCGCAGGCATGTATTATTCATATTCCTTGGTCAGCTGGAAGCTAGATTATTAGAGGTTGGTATGAAAAATCTACAGGAACAACGTTAGAGATGCAAACCTTTGAGAAGCAGTGGTGAATGCAGCCTTAGACACACACCTGTACCACAGACATGCCGTGTGGGTACAGATAAAAGGTGTTGCTATTGTGAAAACAAATGAACAAACCCTTCTGAGGCATAAAGGCTGGGGCCCCTTGGGTGCCTACAGCTACTTTTCACCACTTTTAAAGGAACGACCTGGTAAGGGAGATCTTTATTTCTCCTCCCTGAAAGCCAATAGCTTTTTTTTATTCCCCCTGCAATGATCCATAATGCAAGTTAGGATATTTTTTCCCCATCACATACTCCCTTTCTAGTTGCAGATGCATTTGGGAAGAGAAGTATGAATGCACTTTTTGCTGCTGAGGATTCATATGTCCCAAGAAGCTCTGACTTGGAGTAAGGATAAAGAATTTCTTAAAAATGGACACATATAAATGAAAATCTTTGGCTTTCTGGGTTGCTTTAGAAGGTATTACAGATGTGCCATCCGTAAAGTGCCCTAATCCCAACACAATAAGCAGCTGGTATGTCCATTATTTAAAGACACATGAATAGCAATTTTTCAAGCCTGGAAAGCTATATTCAGCCTAATCCTCCTAACAGGCAAACAAACAAAACAACTTCCTTGCAAAAAGAGAAGAAAGGCAATGCAATCAAAGTGCAAACGTTTAGCCTAATCACTAGCTAACTACCCACTAAGTATCTAACTATTTACATCAGAAAAGGTGTTGCTCTTGCAAGTGTTTCCTCCCCATCTGTGACTATGAGTTAGAAGAGTGGGCCGTTGGGCTTGCCTTTCTTTTATGTCCCTGGCTGGATGCACAAGGACATTTAAGGTGCGTTTGTCCTCACCAAAAGACCTCACGTGTCCGAGTCCCGGCGCGTAACGCTCCATTATAACACAGAGTGGGGTACGACCCAAAAGAACGTTTGGAGTGACCATTGTTAAATTGTTATAAAGGGAACTAAAATGATTGAAAACCCTCCTTACTTAGCTCTTGGGTTTTCTGCAGTTCAGCACTCAAGACGCAAGAAGAGTCGGAGACACCAATAATATTCTCAAGCTCTCTGCTGCCCTCTAAAGCCTGGAAAAAAATAATTAAAGAGACTTAAATCTCATTCCCAAACTACCTACTTTGAGATCTACAACTTAGTAAAAACATCTGAAAGGAAGTACTTTTGGAAATTTTTCATAAGCTATAAATCATGCGTGAGATTCCACCTCACAGAAAGTCAATGAGAGTAAAAAGCAAAAGGGTGCAAGAACATACGCTACTTTTGAAAATGGCATTCAGGTGCCTTTCAAAGTGTTACTTAAAAATCTCCTGTTATTTACGCTTCATTCGTAAGTCTTCAGCTGTTTAAACAGATTAACACTTGATCCCCAGAAAAGCAATCTTGGCACATGTACAAGCTTGCTATAATATGTGAGTAAAATGGAAATCTACAAGCATTTAAGATTCTCAGCATTTCATGGTAGATCTAAAATCACACACTATCGATCTCATGAGAAATAGGAAGGATTTTTCAGTAGTTTTCCAAATAAACATTTCAATTAAAATATTTTAAATTCAAATCACTGTTTTTTCAGTAAATAAAAAAATTGTCAGACCAGACACGCAAGTAAAATAAATCAATGCAATACTTTGAGTACACTGAATTATTTCTCAGATATTGATATACAGCAACAAACCTTGTGCTAAATTTATTCAGGAAACAAAATGTGAATAAAACAAAAAAGTGATTTGCATTCTAGCATGTATTAAACAGACTATTAAATGATGATACATTAGTGGTAAATTAAATAGTACAATCACCTCGACACGAAGGGATATTTAATCTTCGAGGACATAAAAATCTATGCAGTAATAATTCATACTTCAGGTTATAAATAATAGTTGATAACTACTTCATATGCTTTTATTCATGTACAAAATGAGGAGTGATACAAATTAAAAATTGTGTACTTGGAAAAGCAACTCCTCTAGTTAAAAAAAAAAAAAATCTACTAAATTCTGAAGGATTTTTTTGCATTTTCTGGCTTTCCAAGTCAAACCTGCCTGGTTTCAAGTAATTTATTTGCTTCCCCATTTTTAAAAACTCAAACGGTGCATATAAGATGTTCATTTTTATCTCTAATCCTATATTAAAAGTAGATTAAAAAAATAAATCAGTGTAAACCAGACCTGTAGGCTTGTCAGATTTGCTCTTATTTTCAGAATTCTAACCAATGAACTTTTCACTTTGGACTGCAATTCTGTGAACCTGCATAAAAAGTTAAAATAAAACAATTTAAATTAGCCACATCACCACTTGCTGAAAATGAGTGTTTGCAATGTTTCCCCGAGTTTCTTCACATTGTCATCAGGATGGATCTAGATCAGCTGTGAACAGATGGGCTGTGCAACCTGCCTGTGTCATATCACACCAAATATAACTTGCCTTTAGATAGGATTTATATATGAACTGCCAAAAAAAAAAAGTATATCCTAATTTATGGATAGGGACTGAGGTTCAGCAATATTAGAGGATTTTCTTTTGAACGTGCAGGAAGCCAACGGTAAAAACAGGAATTTAATGCATTTGTTCCTAAGAACAGGAATTTAAGCAAGAGGACGAGCTCCCCAAACCCACGGACTGTAGGACTGCAGGACACTGCTTGCAGCCATGGGAAACACGAGAAGTGAAAACTGAGCCCAACAGAGACAACATGGCATGTTATTTGTTTGGCTTTTTTATCCTATCATCTCCCCTTTTCAGCCACAAATGTGTTTTATTACCAGTGTAAAGATGGTCAGCTTTCAGAGTTTGATAGGGTTTGCAATAAAAATAATATTCAATCAGATTAGATGGAAATGGCAGGCTTTAATGCATGATGAAGGATTTGCACTAAATATGTATTGAAAAAAAAAACTTGTGCAAGTTTATGTTTAGGTCGAACTGTTTAAACATGCAAATCAAATGGAGGCAACAGAGAAATAATCCATTTATTGCTTCCTCCCACAGGAGGGGGAATCATCCTTGTAAGAAAGCCCAAATTTAGAAACAGAACTACAGTACGAGAAAAACTTGTATTTCAATATGGGAACAGAAAGCTACGCAGAAAAGAAAATGCTAATGTCAGTGTATCGTACAATATATTTTCCACCTGTAAAAATGGAAGGTCACATAAATATTACTGTGTAGGTGTTAGTTTATAAATGTGTTTTACTGGCACATCACTAACTGCTAGTCTTCCGCAAATCTTGCAATTTTTGACAAAACATCCTGAATTATTGAATGCAAACTTTTGCATGTCAATGAAGAGTAGGATTACTCAAATAGTTCTACAAGTCAAGGTTACTATCACTAAGAAATTAGTCTGTATGTGTTGGTGAAGGGATTTACTGAACCACAAACCCCCACAATTAATCAGTTTATAGCTTTCCACTGGTGTAACTGTAAGATTTTATTTTTTACTCTCTAACGTGCCATCCAAACAATTCTAAAGTTCAAGCTAATGGTGAGGGAAAGCATCCAGAATAAGAAAAAAAACCCCAACAAACACATTGGGAGTTGAAGTGCAGTAATCAAAAGGAAGAGTTACAACATGAAACATAAGAAACATATTTAGTTGAATAAATGTCACAAATACTATTTGTTAGTAAAAAACAACTGCATTCATAAAATATCTAGCCCCAAGGGAATTTTCATCTGGGACACCAGGTACAACTGTGATACCAATATTTAATACATACAACAGAATACAGAAGCAGAATAACAGAATCAACATATATTTAAGCATATGATGGAAGAAATCCACTCAAGCACAAAACCCCAACTCTTTAATGCTGGTTAAGCAGCCTGTATGAATACTGCACTAGCACGGTGATAACATCTTCCAGTAACACAAGCACAGCAGTCGTGCTCTGCCTTCAGGATCAACAGGACTTGCAGTATGGAAATGCACCTCAGTTTCTGGAGAGAATGTATGCTGGACCTGCAGACAGGATTTGAACTGGATGCACAGGCACCTGGCCTGGATGAAATACAGGACAGTCACATTTCACCATGACCATCTGTAGCTAGCTTTTAATCAAAAAGCGTCCTGCATTACTGGCTCTGTATCTTTGTCAGTGAATGCTTCCAAAAATAAAGTACAGGAATGTACACTTTCAGAAGAGGCTGGAAAAGGAAAACACACCTTCCTTTCAGCAGTTTAATTACGGTACTTTACTGCGTAGTACTATGAGTGTGACTCCTGTAATTGGCAGTGCCATATGCCCCACACTACCAGTGAAGGACAGAACTGGCCGGACAGTTGTATCGCAAACCCGGCATTAATCTGTACCTGTAACTGTAAGCCTGCCATTCAGTGCCTTTGAATATCCAATCCAGTGGAATTAGAAGTATTAAAAAATAATCGCTATGAATTTAATTCTCTATGAAATATTAATCTTTCATAAGTAAAAATCACAGCACCGCACCCACAACACACAATGCACTTACGCGTCCTCCTCTGTTTGAGGCTGCCCTCTTCTGGGTAATGTGCTTTTGGAATCATCCTGCTCTGTTCCATCTCCTAGGAGGTTCACAAGAAAGAAAAGAAACAATACAGATGAAAATAAGATACCGAGTATTTGAAGCACATGAAAAAGGTGTTAGTAGGAACCCTGACTGTTCAGTGATCTTTTAGGAAGAGAAAAAAACCAAAACTCACTTACAAAGCAGGCCAGATTCCCTCGTAATGGGACATAGTGAACACTAAGTTCACTATAATTTACTCTAGTAATTTGACCACATTACATTTATATTTGTGGAAACCTTGGGATTATAGTGCTAATAATTGGAAGACAGTATAATTCTGACACATAGTTACTGTGTCCTACTCAGAAGCTTTTTATCCTACTAACTGCCCAAATCCAGCATATTAGCACAGAGCATTCTTGCAAATACTGTAACGACTGAGCAATGAAACCTCCATTTTCCTTTCATAAAAAGTGCCTGGCCCCCAACTCCATCTTGTAAACAACTACAAAGAGATACTGCAAATTCCTTCCAAAGGCTCTGACATGCTATACTGACAATATAATATTCCAGCTCCTCACATGATGGGGCATGATAAATCATATGCCAGTTGCCGTTATTCTGCATGGGAAATCATACGTCTGCGTTTCAGTGCACTGGTATGGTGCATGTTTCTGTGAGGAAACAGGAATAAGATATTACCACCAACGTCCATTCCCATGGATTTGTTAATAAAACCTAGGCTCACGTGGTGATGGTGAACTGGTGGACTGCCTTTCTGTCGCTGCAGGCTGGGCTTTCTTAAATGATCAGATTCCACGAGAAGCGTCTAACACAGACTGCTCTGCCAAAGCAGGCGGACAGGGGGATGCTTTCAGTGATGCTGATCAGGTTAAAAAAGTTAGTGCTGCACTAAAATAACCTCTTCGGCTCACTGGCTGCTAGCTAGTTGAGATTGTTCAACCGCCACTTACAAAGGCTTCATTGCGTATATTGTTACATGGAACAATACACCTCTGATCACAAAAGACTTTCTGAATTTACATCTATTTACTCAGTTATCCAATTCAGACAGAAATCAGATTAGAAGAGATTAAAATTTTATTTTGTGTATCAGTTGATAAAGTCAGTACATTAGCTTGCCAATTCTGCTTGCCCTCCAACTAGCATATCTAATGCACTAGCAGAAAAAAGTACTGCATTCGTCCTAACTAATCCTTAAAAAATAGTATATACTGTCACACTTGATAGGATCCCGCCGTACAGTAGTCTTTGGTGAATCTACTGAAACTAGTGAGGCCATAACTGTTCATGGCATTGTGCTCTACAGGATCTATATGGTCACCTTTCAATCCTTTGAGAGTTATATCTGTCTAGGTTCCAGCAATAAAGAATAGCACCTAGGTTCCACATCTGAATAGCAGAAATTATTTTTGTTTAATTGTGACTGAAGTTGAAGGGATCATATAACATGGAGTTTTTGTAATTTCCACCTTAAGAATTTCCCCCTTTGACAGTATCAGTCACATACTCAGCTCTCATTTTCTACTGCCATGTAAAAGCTCCCGTTTTCAGACACAGTTCTATTCTCCGGTGCAATGGATTTCTTTTGGCTCTGATATTCATTAAAGACAAAATGGTGGAGGTGTATGCATACATATGAAGGGGGAGAGGCACAATCATGCATTAATTCTTTTTTCCTGATGACAGTTTTCCCCTTAAACAATGAGATCATCAGTACATTCAACAATTAGTGACTTAGAATTGCATACAGTAATTCAGGCGTAGAGTTCACTGTACTTGTAGCCATTCAGACTACACTCATCTATCCAACACCCAAGAAAGATCTTATTTTTTTTGTTTGCCAAAGTTCACAAGGTGTTTTAAATTAGTTCTACCGTCCCTCCAACAGATCCATATACATTCTTACAAATGCTTCATGTTGAACAGCCGTTATTGTAAGGTGAAATTCATCTCTAAGTGAAAGATTTGGAGGAAACTACAACAGGTCTTGACCGTGGCCTTAACAAAGGCATTGATCTTAGAACAGACCCTCTGGAATGAGGTCCTTTTCATGTTTGACTGCAATACGTCTCCTTTCTGACATCAGACTAAAAAAGAGAGGCCACACGAAGCATTAAACACTTTGATTTCTTCTTGCTAGATCTAAATTATTACACACAACTATCAGCACTCAAGGATAAATTGACTTTTAATTTTAATATTTTGTAAAACATTTAGAAATACCTCAGAATGACAAAGTGCTATAAAAGTTTAAGCTGTTCCACTACAGTAGCTAAAGGTTAAGACCCCAAAAGATTTCATTTTAAATCTAAGTACTCGTAGAATTTGCACTTAAATCAGTCATCAGTTATCAAACAGATACTTCTTTTAGACCAGTACTATGGAATGACAGAACCCTGGGTTGATTTGAATAAAAATAAAATTATTTAAAATAAATCTTAAAAATATGTTAGCTAACAATGATGAGAAACTAGTGAAGATTTAGTATTCTGTTATTTTAGACATTTATGTCATAAATGAGTTGTGAGATTTTGGGGAGTTAGACAATATATGAATTATCAGGCAGCCCAACAGGACATACATAGGACAATATCATTAGACATATTATCTTAAAATTAGGTTGATTCACATCTTCTCCTAAAATAAATGTTACTTTTGAAGAATCCTAGTGTTTAGTCTTTTTTGAGGCACTCCTCCACACTGTTATTCAAAAGAAAGTCATGTTCCTAAGACAAGTAATTTCCATCTGTCTCCTCAGTGAGACAGTGCATACTACTTTGTGTACTTTGCATAATGCAAAATAAGTTTTCATAGATAGTGGGATTAATTTTGTAATAATCTTCATTCTGTTGTTTTCTTACATATTGGTCACAGAAAAACAGAATATAGATTCTACTCTAACACCTCACTTACAGGTGATACGTGTAATCTATTAAAACACTACAACACTTAAAAGTGTCTTTTCAGAAGGAAAAAAGAAATTGTGGGTTTAAAAGGACAACCTCAAACCTGTGATATAAAAGGAAGTCACCATCTTGTAGCTACACGAACACAGGGAAAAAAGGATGGCTAGTACTACATTACTGAATAATTACCCATCTAAATGTCAGCTATGATCACGTGATCAGTCTTTTTATAGGCAAAAAGAATGTTCCCCTATGTCCATACTTAATATCAGTATGGAAATATAGTACGTGTTCACCTTTCCCATTGCTATCCTAATACACAGGCATTTTAATACAAGACATTTTGCCCCCATTTTTCTTTCATCTAACTATAAACAAGTAGGGATATTCAAGAGAATATATCTAAAAAGCCACAGCATTTTAAATTTTGTTTCTGATGGCTATCATCATATACAATTTCAAAAGCTTTTTGCAAACTTAAGTCTTTGAAGTGCAGGTGGATATCCAGCCAGGCTGAGGTATAGTTTCATATTCTGCAGACAGCCCCTAAATTAAAATCTGCATTTATGTATAAAAAGTAGGGCTTTTTTCAAAACTGCTTTTGTGCAGTTTTTTTGAGCTTGCTGCTCCCAGTGCCTCAGACTGTAGACAATGGGGACACAGATTGTTCTGATCCGACTCTTCCTTCAGGACACAGGCAATCTTAATTCAGCCATCATCAGTGGCTAGGTATAACATGCAGTCCCTGTGCTTGGATCTGGATACTCATTGCTCCGTCTGGGTGAGAATCTGGATGCCCCATCATGACAAAACAATTACCTGAAGTATGGTATGAGCTGACGTTTCCATGACATGACAGGTGCCCGTACAGGCACACCAACTGATTGCGCTAACAGCAGCCATCTCTCTGATATGATGGAGAACACCTACTGGCAACTCTTCTCACTGAAAGGTTTCTTTGTACAGGATGAAAAGAAAAAAAAAAAAAGACACATAGGTTCTTATACAGGAGCTAGTCTGCCATAGAAATCTGACCTGGGAATACTTTGAAAATACCTTTCTCTCTGCAGAAAAGTAAAGTAGATAAATTTACATGTAATTTACATGTCAAAGACATAAGTTCCCTAACAAACTAAGTCAGAATGCTGCTCAAGGGAAGAGTTACTTACCACAGTAAGAAGAAAGTTGGAAAACATTGGGGTTAGATTGCTATCTTGGTTTAAACTCCAAGGAGAAAATTCAACACATAACCAGGGATAGCTGTGGGAATACTTAAGACTTAAGCAACTTTTGAAGAAGAAAATAATCCCAAAGAGAAACTGTTCACAGTTTTTTAAGAATGCAAGGGTCAATAATTTAATGGGCTGATTAAATGTCACTAAATATTTCTGGATGTGAAGTGGGAGTGTAGAGATACCCACTGTGCCAAATATTTTTAGGAATCAAGAAGAAGCCATTAGTCTTGAGAGGAGGTTTACTCCCTCTATCCCAAACCAGGAAGTACATAAACCAGGCCTTTCATTGGGAATCTCAACATAGTTCTCAAAAGGCCGCAAAATGAAACACACACCAACTGTATATTCCTTAAATTTTGTGAAGGCAAGGGTGTTCTAAAATACAGGTCCTTTCACGATATCAGGTTTGCACAACTGGTTGAGATGCTATCACTCACTGAACGAATGGAGGGAAATTAGTCCAATTCCTCCTCCAAAGGTTTCTTGGAATGTCAATAGTTGAAACAATCATTTCTGTACTAGTTCCAGTGGCAGATGCCCAATTGAAAAGCATGGCACTGATGGAGAAGTTATTCTGGGAGAACTAGAACAAACAGAGAACTTGGTAGGAAAGTTGTGAATCTTCCACCTGGCAGTGGTTATTCTATCCTGCTCAGAATATTTCTACTCATCGTAATTCATGAATGTTAGTGAGGCCTCAATTACTGCACATAAATTCCAAAATATATGGGGCATAAAAAGCCCTTTAACCCAACAAAAAGGCATAACAAGAACTGATGGCTGAAAATTAAAGCCAGACAAATTCAAAATCAGACAGATTTTTTTTGTTGTTGTTTTAATAGCTAAAGTAATCGAACAAGGAACTTGCTAACAAGGGAAGAGATGGATTTTTATTATTATTATTTTTTAAATAATTTGAAGTCTTCAAATCAAGACTTAGCCATCTTTCTAGGAGTTGTACTGCAAAGAAATGGGCTCTGTATGGGAAAGATGACAAGAGAGTATCTTTGTATTTTTTTTATTTTAATATAAAAAAGTCACACCAGGTGACATAATGGTTCCTTAACACTTTAAAAAGACCACAACTTACATACCCATAAAAGCAGGTTAGTGTACTGAAAATATACTTCCTGAGAAGTCAGTTTGTCTGCATCAAAAACTGTGGCTATATAACTAAGTGGACGTATATCCTGAAGTGAACTGGAAATAATATAATTATAAAAGGCATTTTTTCTGAGAGCAAATGACATTCAGTGTTATTTTTTATCAATTAAAAATTGCCTTGAAGGGCCTTATTATGGAAAACAAGAGTAAAAAGTTACATAAAAGAATTCAAAGCTGAAGAGTTAAACTAACTGGACTTCCCTTTTAGCTTTGATTTGATAAAATCTACGTAACTTTCAATATTCATAAAGACTCAGAGCTGAGAAGAGCTCTATGTACGTATGCATGCACACATGCAAGCATTTACCACCAGAAACCTGGAAGTACATAAACTGGGGCTTGCATTGAAAATTTCAGCATAGTTCTCAAAAGGCCACAAAATGCATCAACCACACACACCTTTTCTTTCCAGCTCTCCTGACCACAAGAGAGTCCAGACCTCAGCTGTGTATACTGAACAGTGGATTGCACTGCCTTGCAAGAGTAAACCAGGACTTCCTTGCAATAATCTGAAGCAGCACACAGCAACCTCGGGACATCTCCCCATATAATCCCAAGAAGAACAAAGTCATTGTCAGTAGTGTGTACCAGTTCTGCTGATGAAAGCTGGGACTTGGAAAGAAAGCAAACAGAGGACATCGGTAGCATAAACATACCTAACCAGTAGAATTAATGGACTTATTGACAAAATCCCAGTGCAGGGTTTTTTTTGCTGAGCCAAAGTAAAATATTTTTAATATTGATCAACAGAAAGCAAAACTTGTTTCATAAACAAGCTGTTTTATAAACACCCTCAAGATTTATAATGAAAAGGTTCAAGCTTTAAAAATCAACATCAGCTTTCCCAAAAGAGACGAAAATTCTTTAAGAGAAAAAAGAAAGCAAACGTACCACACGAGACATAAATCACTAAATCAAGCCAATAACCAGAAAAATACTGCAGTTGGAAAGGCAGAATGTCCAACTAACCATTTGACGGGTGATTTCCAAGATTTTGTGCATTATGACTCATGGGAGATGAAAATGGACTTATTTGGCGTGTTCCTGTCGTCGGTGAGTAAGAGCTTAGATCTTTCTTTTTGATCTTCAAAGATGTTGCATCAGGTGGCTAAAATGTAGCAAAAGACAAAGAATCTAGATGAATATTGGCTAAAGATAAAGAGGACCTAAGTTAATTAAAAAAACCAAAAACCTAGTGAGTCCCTTAAATCCAAAATTTTGTCTCTGGCCTAGGATTTCAATGCATCTAATGATATATAAGGAGTTATTTAAAGATGTTAAAGGAATTGTACAGCAAAGTTTTCAGAAGAACTAGTCTGCAATTCTGAAATATTAACAGCGATTATCTGGGACACAGTTCACTTTCTAGATGGGATGCTTAACTCTGAGAAACTCGGATTTTACTGCACTACTACTATACAGAAGAAAAAAACCCAAACCAAAACCACAATTTGTTTGCAGATAAAGACTCATTTATTCCTTTTCTATACTTTTCCATATGTTGTCCTGTTTTTGACCCTCATCCTACTCCTTTTTAAACCAGATTAAACAAAGGGCAGACGAATCTTCAAGTCCAGTAAGGATTCCTCAGGATAGAATCTCCTGCATGCTCTGGGAAGAGGGTCTACTAAGGACACGGCTGAGCGTAAAGGCAGTCCGAGTCCGGAGCATGGACAACTCTGATGTCAAAGGCCTGAACCTCATAGGTTTAAGGTCTCACAAATATCCCCTGGAAAATTTAACTATGGCAATTTTAGATCTCAAAAGGCATGTACAAGTGGTAAAAGCGGTATTTTTCAGGCTAATAATCAGGTGCACCAGGTAATGTGTGAAAGCCACAAGTTACATATACAAAGGCGACTTAAAGCCTCTACAATCCAGCAGGAAAATGGGAAAAGGCTCCATTTCATTACTGAGTAAATGAATGATGGAAAACATTGACTTTTATATAACCAATCTTAAATTGTTGAGGTGCCAAAAGGAAACTGAAGACACGTTGTACCTAGAAGTAAAACGGCCAATTATGTAACCCTCAGAAGTCTTCTTCTCAATTCCAGACAGCCGTTTAAATCAAAACAAAAAAAAATTGTTTAAATCAAAACATTCTGAAGCACAATACTCCTACTTTTAACACCTATATAGATATGTGTACTCTTGTCATTTGTATGAATGAGTGTTTTTACTACAGCTTCTACTGCATTCTTGACTTCACCAAAATTTCAGGGTGAGTTCTAGAAGTTAACATGTCTTATAAAAGGTAAGTCCCCATTATTGGTTTTCAGTTCTCCACACTGCAATATTATTCAATTCTTCTTGGTTGTATAACAGTACAGAGTGTAAAAGTACAAAACATGTTCAAATTCACAAAAACCGTGTTTGTTACCTTACATTCCTTCACCTTCTCTAACATTAATTCATTATGGTACACTTTAAATCTTAAACATGTATCTGTTAGAGGCATCGTATGAACCAAAACCCATATTTTTAACCTACATTACTGAGATTCCAGTAAAAGTTTTTATCATTCAGATGGGCTTTTGTTGAGTCTTTTGCTGCACCAGAACCTGAATGCAGGTAACCATCAAGTAACGCTTTATTTTTGTCTTATGGGGAGGGGGTAGGGAAGGAATAGCTTTAAGGCAGAAAAAGAATTCCACGTAATTTCAGTTGGACCACTCATCTACAAAAATGCTACCACAGCCCAAGAAACAGATGCAAAATTACAGTCACAGCTGCATTCTGAGCAGAACAAGTTGGGTAATGGTACACTAAGCTGCTAATTACATTGCTAATGATTTTTTTTAGTGCCACTGCGGTATTTTGCCACCTTTGTTTAAATTAGGAAGAAAGGTATCTAGAAAATTTTTAAAACCACAAATTTCTATCCTGCTAAATACCAGTGAGACCTCCAAATATGTGCTGCATATAAACAAACATCTTCCAAACGATACAGACGTGGAGATTTATTGAGAGCTCATTTGCTGACCAGCTATTTCTCTATATATACTTTTCCAAAATTTTCCTTCCTTTAAACACTGCCATTCTCACAAGCTCCTCTGTATTGATGTCTGCAGCAACACCCACTGTTGGTAGGAGCAGATAATAAAATGACATATGTCATGACATGCTGGTACTGGGAGTATACTATGGATGCATTTACAAAAAATAATAGCAACAGTACAATTTTATTTTTTATTGTGATAACTGTGGTGAAATTTATTGCAGTGTTAGTACTTTATTGTTTCATTATGCCAGATTAGCTGAGGGAGGTAATTATATCCTTGACACAAAAATGTCTTTAATGTTTTCGTTTCAATTTTGCAGTTTATAATATGCAGATTACAGCTTTATCACAATCCCATATTGTTACATGTACAATTACATGGCAGAACATTTGCTTCCAAGATAATGGAGCTAATTTTTAATAAATGATTTCACCAAGGATCTTAACTCATTCAACTCTTGGGTAAATAGTGATGGCAATAAAAATATGCATATTTCTCCATTATTTTCAAGTGATTCATGCAGAGGTACATTATTTAAAGCCAGGCAGCTCTACGACAAATGGAATATGATAAATTTTATACTAATATTTTCAGCAGTAATTTTGTGCCCTGTTACAGTTTTTCTACACATCATCCAATCTGTAACAATATAAATGAAATATCATGTTTATACACACATATGTGTACATATAGATATATATACATACAAAAAAATACTTACATTATCTCTTTTAACAGTGTCCAACTTCAATGCTCTTTTAACTCTGCAAGAGAAAAATATGGACAAGTTTTACGGTCATCTAGACACAAAGATTTCTGGTAGTAAGGTCTGTAATCGGTAATTTAAAAGACATTTTCCTTATTTGTGTTCCACATTTTTTTTATACTGCACAAGAAAACTATTATAATCCAAAGCAAATACATCAACTGACTAAAATATTGTGTACGAAAAACATTGCTTGTTTAGAAGGATAAAGTGTTTGCATAAGAAAATCCAATTCTCCATTTTATACTAGAGATAAAAATCAAGACATTGAAGTGAAATCGCACTGTATATATGTCTTTTTCTCAAAGACAATAAACAATGAAAAAATGCAAAACCATGATCATTTACATACCTTCTGAGCAAGGGCTGAAATTATTTTGCCATTAGTAGAAATAATGTATTAGGCATTTAAAATACAGGTACAGACAAGGTGAAAAAAGTAGTTCTTCCCATCATTTTAGCTCTTAACATGATTCAGTGCTACCAGACTATGACTTAACTGGGGAACAGATGCTCTATGTCTTTACAGGTCCCCAAACCATAAGAAACTATTTGCTAGTCTTCTTCCCTGTACTGATTCAGGAACATGCCAAGCTCTCTCTGCAAAATCTGCTCTGCTGAACTGGATGCCCAGCTGTTAATGGCAGCGCTAGAAGAGGAAAGCTGAATATTTATAATACTTTATATCGTACAGCTGTCTTCTAAAGAGCAGTCATCAAAATTTTATTGAATGCAGACTAAATGCTCAAAGGAAAGAAAGGTCAACATAAATTAAGACTATTTTTCCCAGAGACAACTGGAAGTTTTGAAGTACATTCCTAAATCTTAACAATAGCTTAAAGCATGATATAAAATCAGGAAAAAAAATTAAAATCTTTATAAGAACAGTCCCCAAGAAGGATATATATTATATCAAATTAAACAAGATTTAGAAAATACATCATATTTCAATAACTTATTTCACAGTTTTCATCTTGGAAAATAATGTTTTGACTTGTAAGGAATTAAGATGACCTCATTCCAAACATATCCTTTTAAAATTTATGCTACTATTCCAAAGCTGTAAATTAAAGCACTGGAAAAGCAGAATGAAAACACATCTTTGAAATACAACTCAGGCAACAGTCTTCTGGGAATACTGCTTTACAACTATCTCTATTACAAAAAGGGGAAGAGAAGTATTCTATCTTAAAAAAGCCAAGTAAACAGGTAACATTTAAATTAAAAAAGCCTGTGAAATGCTTGCCAAAGGGCAGTCAAAGCTGTAACAGTTTGATGGAATTCTTTACAATGTATTTCTTTTTTAAATAGAAACCCATATTGCTTAAGGAAGGCAGACTCCATTACATCTTCCACCCCAGTGGCAGCAGAGAAACGTTATATTTATTAATACATCTCCTCTGAAAGGATGCTCTAGGGGCCAATGCATTTGCATGTTATACTAAGGCATCTCATGATGGAAGTTTTTACGATGGACTTCAAAAGAAGCTGGAAGCCAAAGTGAAGCAGAATCTGGACTCAACATAGCTGTAGGATGAAGATAAATGAGAAACTACATGAAAATCCCACTAAATCATAAACATTTAGGAAATTTCTTGGAGAGAAAGTTGTGGACTGGTCAAGACTATGTTCTTTAAAGTCTGGCAAGTACTGTACAGCAACAGAGTTGCAGACAGCCTGAATTCCTGCTGGCCTGCAAACCCCCTGCAAACACCCTGAGCTATGGGGGCGAAGAGGCAGCCGCATTCCAGGCAAGCACTTCAGCGTTGGATGGATACAATTTTGGCTTCAGGCGATCAACTTTGCCTCGCTTTTCCCAATCCATCCTACCCAGCAGGCTGGTTTGCTTGTGGGCTTGTTTTTAGTGATTGTCTTTCTGATACCACAATATGAGAAGGTAAATCTCTGGCAACTGTGATTCACTCAAAATTAGTTAAATTTTGTGCTCTTAATCTACATGCAATTCCTGGCTAGGATCACTGAAACAAAATTCATCCAGATATCTAAAATGAAGACCCAGTTGGCCAAAGTGTCTTCTCTCAGATCTTTCAAAAGATGAACATGGGGAAAAAACAATAGGTGCAGCTAGGTGCAAACAAAATTACTATAGTATTTTAGGAAACACCATGGAGGAAGAGCACCAACTTTAGTTTGGTTTATCTTTTTTATATCACAGGAAAAGCCTTGCTGTGGCTATGGTGTAGAATCAAACGTCAGAGTGTGAACAAGAAAAGAAGACAGAAAGATGAGGCCTATGTGATGACAGAACACAGTAACTTATTTACTTGAGTTTCCTACCCTTGAATTGGTTCAAAATTCCCTGCAAGGCTTAATTTATTTTCTTAACTATGCAGAGTACAATGGTACATGTTTATAACTAGCTGTACAATCTGTAATGATTGTTTTGACCATAATATTTAGCAGGTTAAAGAACTATATGTTACTTCTATAGCATACTGTTCATCTGTCACTCCTGGTCATATTGTCAGTTCCTTGCTAATACTGGGAGGCCTTTACTCACTTGAGCAGTGCTGTGATGAAACCACATATGAGGAACCGCTTGACAGTGAGAGTCTAGGTATGCAATTTAACTTTCTATAAAGAAATAGATTTTTTATATCGTTTTTAATTCCACAAACACTTAACTTTCTCTCCTTCATAATTCATTTACGAATGAATGCAATGGTAACAGTCATGTACAGATTTAATGCACAAAAAAGAACATAAAGGGACTTGATTACATTATTTCATTAAAAATACCCTAGAGAGTACTGTAGTGCATTTTGAGGTGATTTCATTTAGCTTCCTCTTAAGTTTCTGCTTTACTGGGAAAAAAAGACAACACCCCTATGCTATTTACATATTGGTTCATCTTCAAAACCTGCCAGCAAAAATGTCTTATTCATTGGACAAGCAGGAAGAATACATGATCATCTTCTATGTTCCGCTTAAATGGTGGTTAAACTCGGTGTGTAACAAGAGAGAAATAGACTTAAACGTCAACACATCAAAGCTTGTGTATTGATAAATTTCCTTTGTATTACTACTGTCTGGCATGATTACTTCAGCTTACAGTGGTTAAGAGAAAGACTGGCAGAAGTTGGAAGTTATCAGAAGTTATCTCTGAAACTGTGTAAGGAGCTGTAAACTGGGCCAACATCCCAACCTACATAGGCTGCATAAGTCTCATGGCCTCACCTTACTGCTGTTGAAGTTGAAATCCTACACATTTTATCATAGAATCACAGAATGGGTTGGAAGGGACCTTAAAGACCATTTAGTTCCAATGCCCTGCCACGGGCAGGGACACCTCCCACCAGCCCAGGTTGCCCAAAGCCTCATCCAGCCTGGCCTTGAACCCCTCCAGGGATGGGCATCCACAGCTTCTCTGGGCAACCTGGGCCACTGCCTCACCCCCCGCACAGGGAAAAGTTTATTGTTCTTCAGGAGTGCACGATTAGCAAAGACACACAAGAATAGCATCAGACTTACATGACTATTGCTTGATAAATTGCAAAGAACAGGAGAAATATGAAGAGGATTTATTCCCATTGGGGACAACTCTGCACAACCCACCGATGACATGGCTCCCATCCCTCTTCCACCCCCACCACAGGCCCTCACAGGCTCTATCCAGGGGTGTACAGAGACAAAACAAACTTCCCCTCAGCTGGGGAAGCCGAGGTGTAACATCCAGAAAGCATTAGCCATGCCAGTGGCCATCGCCCCCCCAAACTCCACCCGCAGAAGGCTCTGCCCCAGGTGCCACCATCTTAAACTTATTTCCCGGTCCCACCCAACACCTGGAAGACCGACCCAGAAACAAAACCCGCCCTTCCCCATGCACCAGCGTGCTCCTCCCCTCTCCAGGAGAACCTGAGGAGCACCTTTCCCTTCAGGGAACAAGCTCCTGAGGGAAGAAGAATGAGGGGCCGCCGGGGAGACGCGTTCCCGCCTCAGCGCGTCCCACACAGACCCGCG